TGCTTACAGAGCAAACGGGGATGCCACGACCATCATCCTTCAGTGAGAGCTGCCCTATCTGGAGAACAGGGAGATCTACAGGAGGATGCTCACGTGGACTACAGCTCAGCTTCCAACACCATAGTACCACCAAACTGGACCATCTTCACCTGTCACCTGCTCCTGAATCTTCTTAACAAACCAACGTGTGAATTTTTTGTCTCATAAACTTTTCTTACACCTTTTCTCTTCATTCAAGTTTCCACTGATCTGTTTAGATACAGCACTCTGTGAACAGCCAGCTATTCAGCAGCAACATCTGTGGGTGATGGAGGGTGCTGATGTTTGTCACCTGCATAGCTAACAAGCAGACTTCCCCGTGATGGCAGATGTGTTCACTGAACTAGGCGAGAGATACGTGGTATTTATACTGTTGATTTGCTCTGACTGGTTTTCTGGTTTTCATGGGCTCTATAAAAGCTTTCCTTTTTGAATAAGTTACAGAGAATTATTTTTATTTTTTTCCTCATGCATTAGTATGTACACACTAACAGAAATGACTGAATAACACAACACAGGTTATACTAACTGTGATAGTAACGGGGCAGACATAGCAAAAAAAGGTAATAACAGTGGGGGGAACCATAGCCCTGCCCCCCCATGACACAAAGCTGATGTGTACCGTAAACCTACGCATACGGATCAGTATTTAAGGTTTGACTCTCATCATCCACTGGAGCACAAACTGAGAGCGAACACCAAGAAGAAGAAGTCACTTCGATAAGTGATGAAACTCCAGACGTCCAGATGAACAGAATCTATCACTTAATGCTTCATTCAGCTCATGCAGTTCATCTTCAGTTAGATTTGTCCTCACTTCATTCTTACATGAGCATCCATGTCCACATAGTTTGGTTTTAATCCAGTTACACAGAAATGCTTTTGTCATGGTTGGCTGTGTGGCAGGCAGGAGTGGTGGACCCAAAATGCAGGACTCTTAGGAAACGAGGTTTCAACTGAAAATGCAGCTTTATTGCTGGAACAAAACTTCAACATAAAATAAAACTCACAAAACAAAACTCTAAACGGCTGTGCAGGAGGACTGGAAATCATGAACACGCAGCAAGTTGAGGGCGACAGGGAGCACAGGGAAACACAGGGCTTAAATACACAGGGGAGTAATTAGGAAATGGACAACAGGAGGGAGACACAGCTGGGAGAAATTAGGCTAACGAGACAGGAGAGAGGTAAAACTGAACACTTTGACATGAGACATGAACTTTCAGAATAAAACAGGAAACTAACAGACACAGAGAAGCATGGACAGACAGAGGGAACACAGGCAGGCATGAAACAAACACACTGACACACAGCAAAGCTAAACAAAAGACAAGGCAGAATAAACAAGAATATAAAGAAACACAAAACACCGAGTCCTCAGACTCAGGACCGTGACAGCTTTCTTTGACCCTTTCTCTTCAGAACTCCGTGTCTGCTGATCAGAATATAATCAATGCAATTTATTTTATTAAATCATAACTTTAAAGTCAGACATTCTTCTAGATTAGTGGCTTCTCGGTGTTTGCACATGCTGCACTCTGTTTCAGCACTCTGTACCCCTTTTAACAACAAGGCTGGATGTTAAGATCTTTTAGTCTCTTTAAGGTAACAGGTAAGCCATGGGTGCTTCAGTCTGTCTGTTATATGGTGTTTCATGCCTTGCAATGTCCTGCTAGTCCTAAAAATGCTACTACCTTCAATCAACTGTTCATGGAGCTGTTCTCTTGCTTGTAGACTGACTGTATATGCCTACTTCTTTGACAGTTTTTCAACTTGACTAGATGAGTAATTATTCTTAAAGCAAAAAAAGAATGTTTTCAGAAACTTTAGTTTCTGATAGAAAAAGTAATTAACCAACTTTGTTTTCCCTTATGTGATAGCTTTATAAGATAAACTCGAGAATTTTCTCCAAGCGTCCCAGTGAAGTTCAGAACCAGCAAAGCCCTGAGATAAAACCTGTTCCTCTCCAGGACAAACCTAAACCATGTGTGCTGTGCAACACTTTTACCAAGATGCAGATGCAAGACCGTTTACCCTCTCTCTTTATAAACTTTCATAGACATACAGGAGACCAGGTCAACAGGACAGTACATCAATGCCCAAAGGAGAAAGGACACTATTTCAAGCATGCTAATATTCCCATTAGGATCCAGTGGAAAACAGCCAGTGGAAACTGTGCCACCACTGGCTGAAGACAAAGGAAGAGGAAGGTTTGTTAAGTGGGAAAGGACATTTAAAGTCCCTGGTGATAGGAACTGTGACTATGATAAAGGGAAAGGGTTGGCTTACACGATGGAGAGAAGAAAACTAAATATCCTGTGTAAAACCAGATAAACAGGAGGTAAGACCAGGAGCACTGGAGGCAGACTCACGCTGTTCTACCACGGTGTTGATAGAAGAAAGAGTATTTAAACAGGTGGAGGTGACGAGTGTCCAGAAGGCTCATGAGTTTGAAGCTGGAAATTGAAGGGATGATATTAAATGTTGACAGTAAATGTGCCCTTCAGGTTGGATTTGTACCACAGGGACCACTGTTGCCTTCAAATTCCACATCTTCTCCAGGTTTTCTCTAAGCCCTGCAGTTTCTTCTAATGTTCATTTTTCCTTATGTTGCCATCACCGAGAACTGTCACTACGGCCTTCGTCCTCCGCTCGTCCACCAATACATCCTGTTGTTTAACCATTGGCAGTTTTTCTGTCTGTATCTGGAAGTCCCTCTTTTGGCTCGGTCATTCTCAAACACCCTAAAGGTCCTTGGGACGTCCGGGCCATATTTGGCAGAGATGTTCCTGTACTATGCTAATCACATGTCACTCCCTGCTAGCATCTTGCACCTTGTTTTTATGTGCTGGATTGTCTCAGGGGCAA